GGGGGAGTCACATTTTCATTATGAAAATCTGACTGTGGAGTCGCATTTTAGGGGAGTCAGATTTTCATGGTTCACCGGGCCTCCGAGGCCCGGTTTCAGGGTTTACGTAGGGTTCCATTTCCTTGTGGATGAGGGTTAATATAGCAGTTACAGAATAATAAAATCCAATGAAAACTTGCTGCTTTATTTCAAAAAGTCATTTTTATTCACCATACAAAATGCTGCCTGTAGGGATGTGAACATTACAATTATGAAGTATAACATTAACAAAGCATTTTTTTCAAAGTATATAATTATTTTACACCCATGTTCATTTATTTGGTAATATGATAACATAAACGGACAGATCAGAAATCTGAAATAACGTTCAAAACCTAAGATGAAAACCCAGACGAAGCAAATGTAGTCTGAAATAAATAGAAACACATACAAAATAATTTAAAAAATGAAGCACGCAGATAAATCCCATGCAACACATTAATTATTTAACCTGTAAGTGGTAATCTATTATTGTATAATGTTATGATGAAATCACTGACATTTGAAAGTAAAATAACTAACAATCTGTAAAATATCACAGTCTAAGACTGAAACTATATGACAAAGTATTAATTCTGCATCATAAGAATATTTACAAATTTTACATCGGTAAAAGACGCACTTCATGCAGATTGGTTAAATTTCTATGAGCTCAAAATGAAGGAGAAAATGTTAAAAAAAAACTGATTTATTGTAAATAAATCATGCTATCATACTGCAGTAAAAATTCAACAGCAGACACCTTAGATGGAAACCATCAAGAACAATAAAGTTCAAAGTGGAGAAAAAATTACTCTTGATGATGTTTAAAAAGGTTACAAATAACCATGGAGCTTCAACCCATGACCTTACCCCAAAACTAGGTCAATAAAAATGTGTCCATTCACTAATATTTTTTAAAATGCCAGAGAATCTGCGTATAACAATAGACATTTGCAATGGTTTAATTTTTACATAGGTAATCTACCCTTGATATTTTCATCAATTGATTATCTAATTTATAAATCTATTTAAAATGATGTCTAGAAAAACAAACTTATAGTGATTTTGATCATAATACATTCGTTTTCATGTATTTCATATTGTAATTTCACAATCAAGAAACCACTGTGCCTAATAATTTAACTAAAAAAACTTTTAAAAAGGTATTTGCTCTTAAATTCAGTTCCCCATATTTTAGGGATTAAACAGTTAGCGGGCTCGGTTTTCCTTGCCAGTTTCTCCAGGTTGCTTTCCCCAAAACTCATCACGTCTGCTCCGAGCCCTTTCTAGTACTTCAGATGCTAGAGAGCAGCTTGATGCCAGAGATCTTGTTGAAGTGGATAAAGTATCATCATCTTGTTTTTTCCATTCACCCAGTCTTTCTTGTGCTTCTAATTTTAGGAAATAAAAAATTTAATAAATTACAATGTCTAATTTTTTTAAAGGTTAATATATTAAAATATTCTCCTTGCATATTTAAAGGTGCATTTGAAGTGAGCTGGCATGTCAAATTTCTGCGCAATACCTGACGAAATGACCTTAAAGACAAACCAAAAAGCATTGCTTCATATTAAAAAAAAAAAAAGGGACATCAGAACTGATATTTTCTGCAATTGCTGTGTGTGCTGTATATATCCCTTGTCAGTTTCTGTTAAGTTTGCAATTTGAAAACTTTTTTTTATGAATGATGGATTAATTTAATTTATTACTTGGCACTTCTAATAAATTTAAGTCTTATTAAGCCTTATAGAAGTGTTTTATATGCACTAAAGGGAGTTCAACCTCACTTTACAATTATGTAACTTTAGGATTTATACAGAAACTATCAAAATAATAAATATAAAAAATGTGTGTGTGTGTGTGTCGGAAATGAATAAAAATAGTCCAACTTATAATTCCTATGAAAAAAGGGAAACAACTACAACATAGAACCCAGAAGAATGCTTCAAGTTGGCATGCAATACTACAACATTGTCAACTCTTGGTCATTATCCAAATATTCAAATATTGCTAGCCAGTGCATGAAAATGGCAATACATGCAATTTTGAAAATGTATTTTGAATGTATTCTAATCTCCTTTTCTTCTTTATAAAAATCATCACAAATTTGAGAACTAAACATGTATCATTCAACATATAGTAGTGCAACAACATTATACAACAACAACAACAACAACAATAATAATAATAAATAATAAAAAATAATAGTAATTCCCCATCACTCACTCAGTGCTTCTAGAGTTGGTTTGACATATGTCTTCCCCATCTGTTCAGGGATAGGGGACGGGTAGTTTGGCGGCTGCTGAGGCTGACGTTTCTGAGGCATGGCTGTCATGGGACGCCCATGCATGGATCCAGAGTTGGGGCGATCTCTTCTGGCTGGAAAACAAAATTAAATTCACAAAATTTGAAAATAAAACATTTCACATATAACTTTTTATTGATATGGAACAGAAGAGTGACTAACTCTGAATTATACATAATCATTTTTATCCATTTCCATTTACTGCAATCAACCCAGTCTGGATAGGATACAAAGGGTCAAATTCCATATCCTTTTATCATTATATGTATTCTTTTTCCCCCTTACCTTTGCTTGGTTGTGGACTGTGAACATATTTGGTCTCCATGCCTCTATCGTAGCTGACACTGTCGTCAATAAGCATGTGGCTGTCTCGGGTTGGCATACCAAAGGTGGGAGAGGAGCCATTAACAGCTGGCGGCTAGATTGGATGAACAAAACTTATATATATATATATATATATATATATATCCTGATACTAAGAAAGGACTTCACATATACATGACNAATATATATATATATATATATATATATATATATATATATATATATATATATATATATATATATATATATATATATATATATATATATCCTGACACTAAGAAAGGGTTTCATAAATGCATGATATACTGGCCTATTACCAAAATGGAAGGAGGTAAATTTGCTTAGAAAAATATATACTGTGATAAAAATATGCACAAGATTACAAAATAACTTCCACCCCAAATTAAAAAGAAGGTAAAATAAAAAAATTATAACAATTCGTCACAAAGTGACTAAAGTTTAAGCTTAATTAAGTGCCTACTTTGCTCCCACCCCACTCCACAAATTACAGAGTTCCCAACAGTTTCCTCAACTAAAAAACAGTTTTAACAACCATGGGAAACACATCCAGAAAATAATAAGAATAAGAATAAGAACTGTTTCTATTACCTGGATACAAGAGCCTTGAGAGGAAGCAGGGAGGGTGGACAGTGGCACACTTAGACTTTTATGAGGCAAAGACACAGCACTCTGGTTAGTATACACAGAAGGCATTGAGGCGGCAGAGGGGGCTGAAGTAGTTTGACTGCTTGACCATCCAGTTCTGATAGTGGATGATCCTGCAACAGCTTGACTGCTAGCCTGCTCTGTGGATGATGGGTAGCTGTGCAGTAAGCTGTACACTGTATCGCGAGCTGAATGTGATGCAGAAGCAGTTGCAGTGACAAAAGTTGGTACACTATGGCTATGCGGGACATTAATGCACCCATGCTCTTGATTTCTTTGGCTGGCAGAAACGGGTGCAGAAGTTGTCCTTCTTGTTGGGGCATCCTTTAGCTGTTGTTCATGAGCTCTCTTTTCACCCGAGACCACCCCTCTGTCTTTATCATCTGCATCAGCTGACTGAGATGCCTGATGAGATGGCCCCTGACTGGATGCTAGGGTTGTTGTCCTGCTCCCACTGGTTGGATAGGAATAATAGGCACTCTCTGTGGTGGTCTTGGAACACGACTTCCCACAGGTCACTTGGTTAGCGGTCACATTTTCAGAAGATGTTTTAGGGTGCTTGTTGCCTGTGTGTTGGTCAGTAATGGCATCATGTTGACATTCCTGGTCCCTTTGACCGGTCTCGTCCACTGTACTGACCATCCCCTCGTCATCGCTCACGCCACAGCTGCAGCGTCTTGGTTTGTTCTTGGTCGGAGACTGGGTTTCATAACTATGGTGCCTGACCTGGACTGAGGCATCATGACCACCAGTTACATTATTGCTGGTTTCAGCAGTGTGGTGCACATCACTCTGCGGTGGCAGCAATGGGACATTTCTCTGAGAGCAAGCAGCTGTATGTCGAGGGTGAGAAGCATCGGCAGAAATAATAGGAACAGAATGCGGCTTGGAAGAGGAAGAGGAAGAAGGTGGTAACACACGACTAGTACTAGCGCCACACGAACAACTTACTCCTTCCTTCCGTGGAGGTTGGTTGGACATTGTACTGCTGCTGCTGGTGCTACTGCTGACACGGCGACCCCTGCTGGGTTGAGATTGAGGCTGTGACTTTTGACTTTGTGGGGGTGTTTTTCTTGGAGTTCTCTTTCTAGGAGGAGGCGAGGTCAGGAGTGCCCCGCCCACTGCGGGTGTTGTGCGATCCAAGTGATGTCGTTGTACATTAGATTGTCTGGCAGAAGAGAAGAGGAATTCAAAAAGTGATAAAATATATCAATAAATTAAGATCATTGGGTTATATATTGATCCACCAAATTCAAAATGTAGAGGGTTTTCTTTTGACTTTGAATAGGCTGCCTTAAGAGACTGGTTTTATATGATTCAAATACCATTAAAATGCCTTGTTACACAGCAAATTTGTTCATAAATGACAGCAACAGACATAAACACTAAAATATTGACTATTCCAATTACTTTTCAGTTTGGTAAACCACATATGCATTAATCACAGCAAATAGGTATAATTATAGTTATAACCCTCATCATTTCAGCCTACCTCTGAACCTGTTCCACTCTGAGCCGTGGAGTAGGAATTCTACCTTCATCATCATCATCGTCTGCCCCAAGGGTACCTTCATTGTCAGACATTGAGCCTGACGTTAGCGTACCCTCTGGACTTGCTATTGACCCAATTCTGAATGAAAAAATTACAGCCAAACATTATCAGTTACATTGTGTGCTAAGCTTAGACTGCTAAACTCAGATAGATGACTATGTTAAATAGATTTTGCCATGTCAGTCTTCGAGCATTTTAGTGAACCTAAAGAAAGTGAATGTAATGAAAATATTTTTGAAGATGTTGAGATTATAGCAGTATGAATTCTATTTTTCACCTAATAAAAATAAGGATAAAAGCTATTTGCTGTTCTTTGTCGTGTTCTTCCAACACTTGAATATATTTTTGTTATGACTTTCTGTAACTGACCACTGTTTTAAATTATTAGGTCTACAAATATAACTACTCTGAAGACATCTTCTAACTAGCTTAGCTTGCATGTGGGATCTCTTCTTACCCTGAAGCTCTCTCATCTTCTTCACTCTTCTCCCACGCTAATTTTCTTCTGACTGGTTCAGATCCCTGAGGTGGGGGAGGTCGAGCAGCTCTCTTGGACTCTCGAGGTTGCTCATTCTCTTTGTTTTCTTTTCTCCTACGGACAGAGCAAAATAAATGAATGTCAATTATAATGTGCCTCCACACATCTGCAGTGGTCATTGTTAAAGACTATAATTATAGCACATAATTCTTTTGAAGAACATTTTTGAGTTTCAATCAAAAAATGAAATAAATAAACAAGTAAATGAAAAAAGAAAAAAGAACTAAGATCCTTTCAAAAGTATCACACAACTAGCTCTCCTCTCTCGCTCTCACACACACACACACACACATGCATTTATCACAACAACCCGACCCCCCCCCCACCCCCCAACACACACACACCAATCTCTTGCCTTTCTTTTCTGTTTTCTCTCTCAACTTCTTAACAACTTTAATCCTTCCACCATACCTGTGCTTCTTAGCTGGCTGTTCCAGAGACAGTGCAGACAGGGTGCTGCTCTCGCTGACCTGATCCCACAGCTCTGCCTGCTGGGCCAGCAATTGTGCTAGGTGTTCCCTGGAGAAATGTGTTCCCTGCGCTCTCTTCCTGTACTCCTCCGCCTTCTTCCTCAGTTCTACGACCTCAGCAAACCAGTTGGCGCCAGGGGAGGGGGGAGGAGGTTGCTGTCCGGCCTCTGCGTCCGATTCGTTTTCCTGCAAGAAGCATATTTTGCTCATCATTCAAGGTTTTAGTCTTTTTGCCATAATAATGATGTGTCTTGAGTGTGTCAGATTCTGGTTCGAGTCATGGCAAAGTCTAAACCCCTTTGACACTATTAAAAATCACAACATATTCTTTACTGGCACATCAAAAAATAAATTAATACATAAATAATAATAAAAATAATAAAAGGCAAAGAACTGATTTTGACCCATCATAACATAATAATAATCCAATCATTTAAATAAAAATATGGTCCTGTCAAGACTTGCACCCTTACCTTTACTTAACATTATATATTAGTGATTATAATCCATAAATATAGCCCTTCCAAGATTTGCACCCTTACCTTTACTGGCATGATATGAGGAGGGTTAGCGCCTCTCCAGGCTCCATCCTCATAGGTATATTTCCATGGGGGCCTGAAATTGCTGTGGTACTCTGAACGATAATTTCTGAAATTATGAACACAGAAAAGTAATATCGATAAATTTTAAATGCTGGTAAATTATGTTTAGGTATATTTCCATGGAGGCCTGAAATTGCTATGGTAGTCTCAACAATAGTTTTTAAAATTATGAATACAGAAAAGTAAGATCACTAAATCTTAAATTCTGGTACATAGGTTATAGTTTAGTTAACATTTCTGAAGTTGAAAAAATAAAAAAAGATTCCTTCACAAATGTACACAACAAAACTGAATGAATTAAGAAATAAGTGATTTAAAGTAAATAAACAATTTCATTGTCTTTTCCACTAAGGAAAATGATCTTGCTGTCAGTTTAAGACCTTCAAACAATAAACTTAATAATAATAATAATTATAATCAAATCTTACCTGTATTTTCCATGTGGGAAAAATATCCTCTGTGGGTTGAGTGACTCTTTGACCAGTCTCTTGTCATCAGGAGAGGTGACCTGGTGAATCCCAGCAGGAGGACGCTTGTCAGGACTTAACCGGAGTTCTGGAACAAGATATAATTGCAGAAAATATGTTAAAGGCTGTGAGAAATTGGAGATGAAGGAGTGACTTGAATAGAAAATTTAGCATACAAATATAACTTATTTTCAACTTGTTGAATATAAACCTAATAATCTAAACTAAGCTATTTGAAAAACCTCTTAATTGTCTTTTTTGTCTGATATGAAAATAAATATCAAATACTTCACCTAGTATATAATGTAAATTATATATAAAGAAAAATGTTCCATACCTGCTTCACTTTTACTTCTCTTCATCTACAATGATAAAAAATCAGAATTTCATTATCAATGCATTTTCTTTAGTTTCTAACAAATCAGTTACAAAGAATTTTTTAAAAATATGCCAAATAGGATCACCATACAGTGATTTAAATTCATTATATATAGGGGCTCTCCACCACACTCACTATGAACATAGTAATATATATGCAAGCAAAACATCTGGAGAGCCGCATTTTGTCTATATAAACTGGGTGCTTGAATATTTAAGGCTTCAGCTGGTATATCCACTCGCTAGTGTCATATGTAAATTTATTCCTATAAAACTTAACATTCAATATTACAAATTTATAATAATAGAAAGTCATAATATTTTATTTAAAAATCTAAAACACACTGTTTATCATATGTATAGTCACCAGTCTTAAAAATCTGGCACATTGTGTCTGCCATTTCATGGCATACTATGTCAAATAGCAAATTTCAAATTACTCAATCAACAACAAAAAAGAAAAGCACAATTTTTAGTAGTAAGACTATACCTTGTGTTTCTTTCTTCCTCCCTCCGGTCCATTCTCACTCTTCTTTGGTTCCACTGGTTTGTAAAAGTCTGTCCAGGGTTTGAACTGGTTGTTGTATTCTGTTGTGCGTGGAATGTTATCACTCTTGTAAGGGGGAAGATCCATACTACTGTTGTATACAACCTAAATAACCAAATATACTGTATGATGAGAAAAGTATAATGTTTTTCACCAAAGGTTGTACATTTTGAACTAAGACTGAAGATGTTTTTATTCTTTGAAACCAAAACTACCATGATAATTATTTAAAAAACCTAACGTTCTAGATAAAAAATTTTACATTTGAAAAAAAAAAAAAGATTTATGATAACAATAACATTTCATGTTTCCCCCACACTTTTAGAGTGGCAGATTCTATCAAATATCTATAGAAATACATATGACATTATCAATCCTAACAATAACACCAACTTAAGCTATTTCCTGAGAGTACCACTGGGCCTCCTACCTGTTCAGCTTGCAGTAATGGCACAGACTCCACAGGTTTCTTCCAGCTGAACTCTTTCTGGTATTCAGAGACCCTCTTTGGGTTCTTCGGCCTGGGTGGCGGTACCCCTGCTCTGTACTTCATGGCATAATCCGGCTGAAATCAGGAGTAATGGTAAAGGGATAATTAATTTCAGGACAGAGAAATTGCTTAAACAATGTTTCAGAGATCTGTGATTTTTTTTGTAGAACTAACAGACCATAATGATAATTAAATTGACCTTAAATCTCTAAAATAAAACTAAGAATCACTCATGTCACTCTTCATTGTTGGCTTAAACCAAGTGAGCTATTGCATAAATTTCTTACAATTTTAATGTATTGCTGGTAGGAATTTATTTCCTTAAAATGTAAATTAAACTGAGCCAAATTACAGGAACTAACAGTCAATAAATATTAACCACATTTATTTTTAAAGATATAGTTGTTTTATAAAAAATGAAGAATTATTTTATCCATTCTTGTACTATCACTTCTAAATATCAGCACTTCTTTTTATTCTCTGCTTTTCTCCCCTTTTTCCCCCATAATCACTTACAGGAACCTCCTGTCCAGAATCAGCAACCCCTTTCTCCATATCAGTCTGCACAAATTCGTTCATCATTCCTTCCCTCCTTTCCCTCAGTGGCTCTTTCTTTCCAGTATCAATCTGGACTTTTGGTGGGGGCGGTCTTTGCGGTGGTGGGGGTTTGGATTTCGTGGGTGGCGGCGGTGGTGGTGCAGATTTTATTGCTGGAGCAGGTGGCACCCTTGGTTTCCCTGTGTCAACATTGACCTTGGGTGCTGGGGCTGGCCCAGGCTCGTCTGAACTGGTGCCATTTTTAAGTCTGGCAGCTTGTCTTTTTCCTCCAACCTAGGATATAGAATGTGCTAATTCACAGACTCGTATTCTATTCTATGACACTATTATATGAACCTAATTGTAGGGAAAGTTTGCTTGGTTTATCCCATGTAGTACTAATCACCTATAACTTACTTGTGCGGTTTAAGAAATATGCAGGAATGTTACTACTAAACTGATCCTTTCCCTTTTCAATTATGTAATATGAATTTTCCTGAAAAATGTTTTAAAAAAGAATTTTTTCCAAAAAAATGTTTTATGGTAATATTTGAAGTTGATTCAAATGATTTGAAAAGTCAGTAGGCACCTTGTAAAAAAGTACATTATCATTAGCATCATTATTAATGTCTTAGACCCATACTTCCTTAAAAACCATGAAATATTTGAAAGCAAGAAATATGTATATTTAAAATAATCACTAAAACAAAACCAATACAGCAATACTAGTAGTATACATTCCCCAACATTCTCTTACATTGAAAGTCTTGGCCAAGGCCTTTCGTCGATCATTTTTCAAGTTCCTGTACTTAATGCTTTGACCAAACTTGGTCTGATCACCTATCAGCGTGTACTCGTCTTCTACCCGCTGCCCTGACGACTCATACTCTCCATTGATGTATTTAGTGGTGGCTGTGGTTGTGAGAGGGATGGGCTTCTTCTTTCTCTGCAGCGGTGGTTCTGTGGGTATGCCGTACATGCCCCCACCTGGGTGAAAAACAGCATGTAAGGTACCTATGTATGTACGGATATTGGTGAAAATGTGTACAATACAAAGCAAAGCACAATCCCAGCATATTAATATTATGCAAAGAGAAATCATTTTATAAGATGGCATTGTTTTCTTTCCTTTAAAAATCTTGATCAGGGAGATTGATGTTAACTTAATTTTTGTGATAAAAGCATTTTCATGGTGTAGATTACCCAGGTAAGCATTCTAAAGCG